TGAAGATCATCATAAGTCCAAGTTATCACCACTATCCATGACTCAGCAGTCCCCTAACTTGCCACTTCCATCAATTCTGTAAATTGGAATGATTTTTTAAAAATAACAATCAAACAGAAAAGATTTTGCATAACTCCCAACTCCAGCTTCCACAAAATCAGTAGTTATTTCCTATTTCCCACACATTTTATGGGGAAGCTGCTGCTAATCCAAGGATTGGAAAAAGCATCCCTGAAGCAGAGTTTCCCACATTTGATAACCAGAATCCCGAGATGAGAAAAGTATTTTCCAGAAGGTGAGAGCACTGGCTACAGGATGGCTAAGATTCAGGGAAACTGTAGGTACAAGTTCAGATTATTATTTCGCTAGCATCTCAATGGAAAACTCCAGCCTGTGGTTATCCTGAGGGCATCAGTTGGTCATCAAGACGGCGATTAGGAAAATCATGGGAAGTGAAACAAAAAGCCATCAAAGCTCAGCTCCAATGCTGACAACACATGTTAATCTGTGTGACAGATGGCAGATAAGGCCATGAATTATTCCCATCTTTCTACAGGTGCTTCTTTGGGTTGTGGATCTGCAGCTCCTCCCACATCCTGATGAGTCTGTTTCTCCACCCCTTGCATCTGGGTGGGCCCTGTGACTTGCTGTGGACAATAGGGCAGTAGAAGCATGATGAAAGTAGACTCCAAAAATGTTGATGCCTGTGGCTTTCTGTCTCTTTCTGGTCTTCAGGACCCTGCAACAGCTTCATAAAGAGGCCAGGATCAGCCTGATTGATGGTGAGGGACACGAGGCCCAGTTATCCCTGTTACCCTAGCCTGCCCTAGAGCCTGCTAACTACCAGACATGTCCATGGGTGATCCAATTCAAAATTACCCAGTTGCTGGATCTTGAGAGTATCATACTCAGCACAAATATCTGATGAAAAAGGACAAGAACCATATAATTTCACTCATACTTGGGACATAAAATAGAAATCAATCAGCCATCAAACAAAACAAATAAACTCATAGCCTTGGACAGGATTGCTGAATGGTTAGAGCATCATCCAAAACACCAAAGGGTCACAGGTTAAATTCTTTGTCAAGGGCGCATACCTGGATGCGAGGCTTGACCCCTGCCCTTGGCAGGGCGCCTATGAGAGGCAATCAATCAATGTGCCTCTCTCACATCAATGCGTCTCTCTCTCTCTCTCTCTCTCTCTCTCTCTCTCTCTCTCTCTCTCCCTCTCCCTCTCCCTCTCCCTCTCCCTCTCCCTCTCTCTTCTTCTCTCTTTCTCCTCTCTCCCCCTCTCTTCCCCTCCCTTTCCCTTCTACTCTCTAAAAAATCAATGAAAAAAAATTGGGGGGTGAAAATTAACCAAAAACTAACAAACTAACTAACTAACTAACTAACTAAGTAACTAACTAAAAAACAGACACAGACAAAGTATGGTGGTTACCAGTGGAAAATGGGCATGGGGAAAGGCTGAAGAGAGTAAAGAGTCAAATATATGATGACGGAATGAGACAAGGCTTTGGGTGGCGAGCATACAATGCAATACACAGATGATGTATTTTACATTTGTACATCTGAAACTCATATAATATTATTAACCAAAGTCACCCCAATAAATTTAACCTGTGATGATGGTAGGACCATCTGCATCTTGTATTTCCACTATTACCTGGGGACAAGACAAGCACAATGCTGAAAGAGTGGTTCTCAATAAATATCTGTTAAATAAAGAAATTGATCAAAACCACTCTGATTCTTGCTTTCTCTTTGATCTTTATGTCCAGCCTACATCTGTGGAAAATATTATCCTTTCCTTATTCATCAATGTTTAGTGTCACAGAAACAAATTATTACTTTTTTGTTGTTGTTAATATTCACCTCAGGATATTATTTTATTGATTTTTTTAGAGAGAGTGGAAGAGTAGAGTGGAGAGAGGAAAGGAGAGAGAGAGAGAGAGAGAGAGAGAGAGAGAGAGAGAGAGAGAGGTGAGAGACACATTCATTGGTTGCCTCCTACATGAGCCCTAACTGGAGCAGGGGATCTAATCTGCAACCCAGGCATGTGTCCTTGACTGGGAATCAAACCCCACAACTCTTTGGTGCATGGGCTGACACTCTAACCACTTAGCATGGGTCAGAGCCAAACTGACATTTTAAATATTTCTTTTCTCCTTGCTCTCTAGAACTGTTGGCAATGGGGAAAGCCACTTGAATAACTCCTATTGGAGCAGACTTTGACTGGGACAGGTTGAACATGCTAATTGTTAAAAACTGGCTCACCTGATGGGAAGCCATCAAATACAAACTTGAATCACTATTAAACAGACAGACACTCCTTTTGAAAGAAGAGTTATGTTTTTATACTTTAAGGATAGGGAGTAGAAGAAAACAGCTTCTTATCAGCTAAGAAGAGAAATGTTTACAGTTCAGCTTTGTCCACAGAGTTGATGTTGGTGATGGGTCTTCAGACGGATAACATGCTGAGTTGTGCTTCTTACACTTCCCAGTGCTCTTCACCCACCAGCTTCCACAGAGCTAGTTCTGTCTGCTCACCCAACTCCATCCCTGAAAGATTCTAGTTTATTTATAAATTATATAAATGGTGAAAGCAGTAATTTATTTATATAAATATCCTCTGAGCAACAATACCTGAAAGAATTGCTATTTTGTAGGGCTCACTTTTTAAAATAGATTACAACCCCAAATCAAACAGGAAACAGAAAGAATGATAAATCTACACAGAGCCCAACCAATATGGCTCAGTGTCAACATATGAACTAGGAGGTCACGGTTCGATTTCTAGTCAGGGCACATGCCTGGGTTATAGGCTAGATCCCCAATAGGGGCCTACGGGAGGCAGCCAATCAATGATTCTCTCTCATCATTGATGTTTCTCTCTCTCCCTATCCCTTTCTCTCTGAAATTATATATATATATATATATATATATATATATATATATATATATATATATAGGCTATGCTGAGATCAAGTTTGCCAGGAGGTTTAAGATATATATTCAGGGGAGAAGGGGAAAGGACCCCTCAACACCAAACCCCACATTTCCCTGCCTCTCCCCACAACATACACACAAATACCCATCTTACTTTACCTGGAAATTCTGGGGGTCTTTTTTCTAAATATGAAGTCAATGCTAAGCTGAGGGTATTGTGGAAGAGGAGGAAAGAGGAAGTTAGGGGAGAAGCTGCACAATCTTGCTCATGTAAGCGACAGGACCACCTTACTATCTATAACAATTTTCTGCCTTTGTTGACCTTCCTCCAGACTTGGTGCTGGTGGATTCCATCATTGGTGCACATATTTGGCCCTTTCACACATACTCAGGCCAGTAGAGCCAGTAGAAAACTGGATTGTTTTGTAGTTCCAAACACATAGCCCAGGATCGGTCAGTCAGGTCCTGAGATTGGCCTAACCAGAGTTCCTCCCAATAGGCCCAGAGCTAACACACCCGATTGTGAGCTTTAGAACATATCAGAGCATCACCCAATGATCTCACAAGCAATGCACCCAGATGGAGATCTTGGTAAGCACCAGACCCTGATGGGGAAATTCTGCTTTATTGGGTCAGACCCTTCATAGCAGCTTTACACTGTGGTTGATGTTTATCCTCATAGTCAGCCAGCATGAGGGTCAATTCCACCCATGGATGGGCCAACAGCAATCAAGACTCAGCTACAATAAGACAACTCACTTATTTCACACATGGAACATTCCTGGGAACCTAGCTCAAGTGGTCAGGGAGACTGTGCCACTGAACCACACAGGATACCTACTATGTAAGGTCAGCATACCAAGACTGGGAGACATAGCAGATCTGCCTAATACACATACACAAATATAGAGAGGCAGCCAAAGTGAAGAGACAAAGAAACAAGCTCCAAACAAAAGAACAGAAGAAATCACTAGAAAAAGAAGTAAATGAAATGGAGGCAAGCCATTTACCTGATACAAAGTTCAAAACAATGGTTGTAAGAATGATCACAGAACTTAGTGAGAACTTAAATGGAGAGATAGCAAACATAAAAAAGATATAGAAACTATAAATAAGAACCAGTCAGAAATGAAGAATACAATATCTATAATGAAGAATACACTAGAAGGAATCAACAGGAGATTTGGTGAGGCAAATAATCAAATCAGCAATTTAGAAGACAAGGTCACGTAAAACATTCAATCAAAGCAGCAAAAAGAAGAAATAATTTTTTAAAGTGAGAATAATTTTAGGTATTTCTGGAACAATATGAAGCATACAAACATTCCCATCATAATGATACCAGAAGGAGAAAAGAGAGAGCAAAACACTGTTAACCTATTTTTAAAAATAATGACTGAAATCTTTCCTAATCTGGTGAAGAAAAATGACACACACGCCCAGGGAGTGCAAAGAGTCCTTAACAAAATGAACCCAAAAAAACCACACCAATGTGCATGATCATTTAAATGGCAAAGCCTAGAAACCAAAAGTGAATCTTAAAAATAACAACAGAAAGACAATTACTTATAAGGAAGCTCCCATAACACTGCCAGTTAATTTCTCAATAGAAACTTTGAAGGCCCGAAGAGATTGGTGTGAAATATGCAAAGTCATGAAAAGTAAGGACCTAAAAGCAAGATTACTCTACATAGAAAGTTCATCATTTAAAATTGATGGAGAGATAAAAGGCTTACCAGGCAAGAAAAAGCTTAAGGAGATCATCACCACCAAACCAATATTACAAGAAGTTTTTAAGGAACTTCTCTAAGAAGAAGTAACAATTTTTAAAAAGCAACATAGGTATAAACTTTTTTAACGTAAATAAATAAATACTTATCAATTATTAATTTAAATATAAATGGATGAAATGCTCCAATCAAAGGGCATAGGGTAGCTGAATAGATGAGAAAACAAGATAGATATATATGCTGTATACAAAACACTCCCCACAGAATGAAGGGCACACAGAGACTGAAAGTGAAGAGATGGAAAAGATATTTCATGAAAATTAAAATTAAAAAAAGAAGCTGAAGTAGCATACTTATATCAGACAACATATAATTTTTGACTCTGTGGAGTGCTTTGGATGCCCAGTGACTCCCAGTAACTTTCAGGTCTTGTTTTTGCTTTTCAATGTGTGCTTGAACTTTGGCCAGGTACTCTTCTGGGGTGCTGTCCCCGTCTCTCCGGAACATCTCTGCATCATGGAAGAGGTCATTTGTGTAGAAGCTACTCTGGTTATCCCTCTCCAACTTCCCCACCACAGCCATCAGCTTCTCTAGCTGCTCCCTCTGCTCCTCCCCAGTAGCCTGGTTGTTGAGGCCACAGTACCTCTTCCCACACTCCTGGATCAAGCTCCTCAGGCTGTGGTTGTCTGTGTTGCCTACATACTCATCCAAGGACCCATCCTCTAAGTCCTCCTTGTGGGTGAAGATGACCACCACATGTTTCATGGCTCCTTCCCCAAAGACCTCCTTCACCCTCCTCACTGCCACCGTGTCCTGGGCAGTGAAGTGTCCCAGCTGCGTCACCAGCAGAAGCACATGGGGCCCTGGGGCTGAGAGTAGGTAGCAGTGTCCAATATCGTCGTACATTTCTTGGTCCTGGGCCTTGGCCTCAAAGATGGAGGGTGTGTCAACCACCAAGATGTTCCTTCCATTCCACATGCCTTTGGCCACCTTGCACTTCCTTGTCACAGCCTGGGCCGCCAGCCTGGACTCAAACACAGGTTGACAAAGGATGCTATTCCCAGTGGCACTTTTTCCGCAACCAGATTTGCCCACCAGAATGAGCCTCAGTGAGGAAGATGATACAAACTGGGTATCTTCTACACTGCCTGAAAAGAAAAAAAATTGTGTGTCTTATTAAGCTAGTGCTGCTCCTGTTTTTCAGTCATGGACCCTCATGTATCTCATTAAAGCTGTGGACCTCCCTCCCAGGAAACTGTCATATCTAAATACATACAAAAGTTTCCGACAACTTTAGGAGGTTCTAAGATCATAGGAAGTCTACATAGGAAGCTCACATTGGACCCACAGCCAACAGTAAGAACTGCTACACTGAGGAGGTTGCTCCAAGTCCTTCATTAAGACCAAGGAAGATAGTTTTCTGAAAGAAAAGTAGTCCCTGTGTTTCTCCAGGGATGGTGCCTGGCCCAGTTTCATGTTAAATAAACGTGAGTTTAGAAGGATGCAAAGAATGAGAAGTCACACATGGGAAAATATTACCACCTCTTTTCACTCACAAATAACCAGGAACACTTGTGTAGAAGTGCTCAACATATTCACCTAAACCTTGGGAGAAAAGTAAGAGTCAGCTGTGACCTTCCACCAAGGACCAGCTGAGGTCTCTGGGTCTCTGTTCTTTGGGTGGGGAGTTCTCTGCTTGAAATTGAGACAATAGAAAGGTCATAGTTACTGTCAAAGGCAAAGCCTGAGAGATGACTCAGGATGGGTGGCTGAAGAGGATAGAAGTTAAGACCGTTAGTAGTACATGTGATGGAAAGGTCACCTACTTGGCTGATTGAATTGCAGGAAGTTAACAAAAGTGATATTGGAGAGGGTGACACTGAGCCAGGAGCTAAAACTTTCAAGGGACCAAGAAGGGTGAGAACCAGGGAGTTCAAGAGTTCTATGAGCCCAAATGGATTCCAAGTTCATTGCAGTGTCCTAAAATGTGTTATTTTATTTCTTCTACTCTGTGTTGGTTCTTCCTTTTCTGTAGTGTTCTGGGGTGTTTTATAGCATGCATGATTAGCAAATCTTTCTGGGAGATATTTCCATTTTCTGCTCAAAGTGGACAAGGAAAGCGAAAATTTACTCACAATTCATTTCAAAACCCTGCAACTTCTGACTTGAAGTTTCATTTCCACATTTCCCACACCTCATGTGCATGGAGAGCATTATACTGAAGGAGTCAGGTGGAGGTGGAGGTGAAGATGCTGGGGAAGGTAAAGAAGAAATGAGCACTGACATTTTCTTCTTCAGTGTAAAATCACTGGGTTTCTGTCACTGTGTTTGAGGTGAGGAAACGGTGCCTCTTGAGAACTTGGAGGCTTTCTTACCTTCAGCCTTAGCTCCATAACTGCTCTTTGGAAGTTCTTCCATCCTCTTCTGGAATAAAAACAGGAAAATAATAAAAAGTAATTGTCCACATGGAGTTGGTAAGGTCCTAGGTCACCTCCAGTTCAGACTCCTAAGAACAATTCTCCACTGAGGAACCATTTCCATTGCTAATTTCCTAACTCACATTATGCCCTCAAAAGTCTATAAATAACTTGAAATGAACCTGGTGATGCTAACACAATGCACTGTGAACACAATGCTTGGTCCCCTTTTTTTCTGTCTCAGCTTACAGGAAAGCGGGAAATGTTTTAAAGCCAATCCATTGCTTATGTCCCTCCAACTAGAAAAGGCATGAAATGAGAAAAAAGCATTATTTTATGGAATGAGGAGGGGGACATTATTTTCTTTTATGTTTTGGAATCAAAGTAGGCCAACTTTCTGGAAAAAGTACTTCCCCTCATGTCAGTCCTTGAAGGACTCGTTTCCCAGATCCAACCTTATCCTGGGAAGGTGCACTGTACTTTTCATCTTCGCCACTGGATACCCATATGACACAAAGAGTGCCGGGCACTAGAAATTCTCATTACTTCAAACAAGCCAATGTCATTTATAGCATGGTCATTTCTTTCTCTGTTCTAGCAAGTTTGTGATTAGCCCCCTGAGCAGTTGGTGGAGAGAAAGGGGTGCCATATCCAAAGAGAAAGAATCAACACTGAGCACAAATTCAAGAAAAACTCAGTTCCTGCTCAGAGTTTAATCAACTGTTTTTCCTGGCTGGCTCTGAGGTCCTTGTCTCCCAGTGATCGCCATTCTGTATCTCAGTAAATTTAAACCGAAATTGGCACAACCATTGGCATGAATTGGCATAAATGCTTCATTCAAATGAGGCATAATATTGTGTCACTCATTTTGGTGTTAGAAAAGACAAGATGTTACATACCTAAGTAGAGGTTATATTTATTCAGTTTTAAATATTATGCAGTTATGAAACAAGTTTTTAAGTGAAGATATACACGAACTTATGAAACAAAAACCTTCATTTGCAATGAACAAATGTAAGTTTTTTGGCATTTTTAATGCAGCTATTCTGTTTGATTGAAAAGTTAACACATTACATGTGAATTTCATTTGTTTTTTTTTTTACTCCCCAGGGTTAATTTCCCTCCCACTGTCATTCAGAGGCAAACAATATTCTGAGCTGTTACATCTGTGGCTGTTAAAGTGGGAAAGAAAGATTAATAAAGTACATGTTGAAGCTTGAAAAAAAAACTGGAGCTTTTTATCATCTCATGTGTGTATTTACACTTCTACATACACGTGTATCTATAGGTAATGTCTAATACTGTTTTTGCATTTTAAACTTTTACATAAATGACATTATTTGTGTAAAATTTTATCCAATTATTGATTAACAAACTTTTAATCTGTTCCAAAATATATGCTTCCTGCAAAATAATCCCCACATACTGCATATCTCTGTGCAACAATTGATGGATGGCTGTCATCTGACTAGATATTGTCAATGTGACTCGAGACCACTATGCTAAATCTCATTGACACAAGCCATGTGTGAGAAGTCCCCAAATCTGCACTTGCACTTGGTGATATTCCACTTTTAATTTTTTTTATCACCTTAAGGACATACATAATGATGTATTCGTCCATTTATAAATCCATTTTACTGATTACCATTGAATTTAAAATGTTTTTTATAATTTGTTTGCCATTTAGGTTGCTTTTGTTATATAAAAATGTTTGCACACTTTTCTATTAATTTAGTGGGATTTTTTGGCCCTCCTTAGGTAAACCACTTATTTTCATATTTTCCTTTTTTCCTTTCTTCCTCTTCCGATCCTTTATCACTTCCTTTGCTTAAGCCAGAGAAGAGCATTTCCTCACACCCTCTTCCATAGACTATCCTTGACCCTGGGAATTTATACTCTGGCTCTTGATAACCCTGCTCAAATTCTATATTTTTCTACACTTCATGACCTTTTGTGAGGAAACTGAGAAACAAATGCCTGCCCAACGTCACACAATTGCCATGGAGCTAAGACTGAAAAGTAGCTCCTTTTTCCAGAGAATTCTCTTTGAGTCCACAGGAGGAAAAATTAATCTAAATAAGTCCTCAGCCTCATGGACCCCTACATACAATGTGGTTGTCCCATGGTCAGGACAAAAACTGAGGCTGACAAGCTGGAAGCCTGCCCTGAAACCAACACAGACAATTGTACTGTAAAATATTGGGTGGATGCTTTTCCAAAATAGGTTATTCAAAGAGAAAACTGCAGGGGCAGGAGTTGCTCTAAATTGAAGCATTTCAGGTTAAAACCATCTGGTATTTTGCTGACTTGATTATCTATGTGACCCAAATGGATCAGGGTGCCTGACACAGAAAGTCAACCAAACTCTGGTAACTAAGATGCAGGGTAGTACTTCTCCTGGACCATCTTCTGAATGTGTCAGGTGGCAGGGGAGACATGTGTCCACAGGGGAATGGGCTTTTAGGCAGAAATTAACATAACAAAGTGTCTGGGCAGAGTGACAAAGGATATTAATGAAGATGCTAAAAAGAGTCACAAAGTATTAACATGACTGTATTGATAATCGGTTTGTCTCAGTGGTTAGAGCATTGTCCCAGGGACTAAAGGGTTGCGGATTCAGTTCAGATCAAGGGCACCTACCTCAGTTGCAAGCTCAATCCCTTGTACCAGGAGGGGCGTGTACAGGAAGCAACCCAATTAATATGTCTCTCTCCCACCAATATTTCTCTCTCTTTGCCTCTCCCCCTCCCTTCCACTCTCTCTAAAAATCAATGAGAAAATATCCGGGGTGGGGATTAACAAAAACCAACCAAACAAGTAACAAAAATACAGGACTGTAAAGCTTAAGAAAAGACTGGGGGAAGCATGGAGGACCTGCAGGAATGTGGTGCATGTCAATCTTGTATCAGGCCAAAGCGGGAGGACAGAGAATGGAGGCATATTCCTCGTCTAAAAGGAAAATTCTACTCATGTCCAAAATGAGAGGGTGGCAGTCAGTGTGCAAGCAGAGGTTATAACAGTGTTGGCAGGACAATAGGAGGGTCTAGTTCAGGCAGGGGGTTGAAGGAAATGGACATAATGTACCTTTGGATTTTAAAATTACATGAGCCTGGTTTTATCATGGAAATACCTTTCTGTACCAAACCATGAGAAAGCAGGCTCTCTCATGCTGTTTTAGGAAAATCAAACGATATCTTGTCGACCTTGTTCATAAGTGTCTCCTTCACTCATATTTCCTGTTTTTAGAGTCCCCTGTTTTATAGTTTAGTTCTTGGAATTTCTGGGTACATCTTTTACGGAAAGTTCAGCAGACAAAGGGATTGTTCCAGGTGCCCTGAAAATGAGTCTATTTGTCATACAGCTGAGTCCTACCTCTTGTTAGAGGAAGGTGTGGGCTATTTGGGGGGAAATGGAGTAGTTTTCAGAAGGACAAAATCCTAAGATAATGTGTATTCAGGGGTCTGGGACTTGGGGAACACGTGGCTCAGTGGAGGTGTCACTTAAGAAATTAAGATGGTAAATTGAGAAGATTGTCCCTATTTAATTGGGAACCTGGGGAGGTTCAATTTTCCCATCTGTATAATGGGATGAGAATATTCATTCAGCTTCATGAAAGCCTGTGAATCTCAATGAAGATCCAATGGGCCAGTAGTAGTCAATTAGCTAGAAAGCCATGAACGCTTTGGAATGTGCTGGGGTGTGGGCACAGGGTGAGTGTTTTCCACACTTGTTTCCCCCACTATCAACCCACTATTGCTCCTAGCACCACCACCATCATCCCCTTTCACTGACGGGTAAGCCCAGAAGTTGAGAAACTAGAAGTTGAAATCACACCAGCAATGAGTGGCTGTCATTAAGCCATGGGCTCTCACACTTCCAAGGCGCTGGGACCCTCCCCAGTATCTCCTTACCTGGCTCAGAGCTGTGGGAGCTGTGTTCTGTGGCCCCGCTAATGTGCTCCCAGGTCTCAGGAAGGTGCGTGGGACAGACGCATAGGAAGCCAGGCCTTTACAGTTACACAGGAGCTCCCTGGAGGCCGAATGTTCCAGGGCGAGACTGCTGGGCAGGAAGAAGAAAGGGGATTGCTAAACGCTCTCCCCCAAACCCCTACAATAGAGACAAGTCCTTGGAGTGGGTGGCCAAACAGTATCTAGAGACCAGAGGGCTGGGGCTGTGTGCTGTGTCCCCTTAATCTGATGCTTCCTGTCAGAGCCTGCCAGCTGCCAGGCCACCTCCCATTTCCTTTTTATGACTTGTTAAAATAAGCAATATGTGGAGGCAGAGGCTATGCAGGCAGTGACAGACGTTTAACTCCACCATATTCAGAAACAGCCCCTGTGACATAGAAAAGTTCCTATGTGCCACTAGCCCCCCAAACCCTATCCCCCACCCCATCCCAGCACCCATCACAGGAGCACGTGCCAAGCCTTACTCCCCAAGGCCCGTCTCAAGGCTCTGCTTCTAGAATGTTCCTACTTGAGACAGACAGGCACTACTGATCCAAGGAGGACCTGGAAGACCAACTCTAAGAACTTGACATTGATGGGCTCCCAAACCCCAGGTGCTGGTTGCCTTTTCTCTGCCATTGGACAGAGCAGCCCCGTGGAACTTAATAGGACTGGAGTGTTATGTATGGGTTTATTCTGGTGGCAACCAGGAGCAGGGCTATTGTTCCCCTATTCGTCAACTGACCACATATTTAAGGCTGAGCAGTAAACATAGAACAATTACCTTGCAACGTTAGATGGAGAACACAATATGGGCTTAGGCTCCCACATTCTGTTGGTCAATTCTAATAGTTTTATTTGGTATACATGCTGATCAAGAAAGCTCTTCTTATAGGTACTGTTTTATACTGATTATTACACAAGAAATTGATTTAAAGTATCAAACCACCCAATATACATAAATGAGGACAGAGGGCCTAACCTTGAATTCAGGGGGGAAAAATCCTTTAAGGCATAGCCTGAAAGAACACTATACTAGATGGAATGGTGG